TACATCAGGTGGCATTCTTTTGGCAGGATTCTCCAAGCTGCAGGGGGCTATGTGGTCTCGAGGCATGGTGTCCGCCTTGAGTGCTAGAGGTTCAGGGTTCACTCCCCAGTAAGGGCTGGGATTTTTTCACGTGGACTTGGACTTCCAGTAATACCCCCTGGTCTCTGAGTAGTGAGATCGACACTCATGTGGCACATGTGAAAAAAATCCCTAGCTTAACGCACTGCCCGAGCAAAATTTGGAGTTAAAAATCTACCCAAAGTATTTCAGGATCCTCGCCGGTGCTGCAGAGCATGTGCACTGTGCTGAGCTTCTTCGGACTCAGACTTGAGTTAGAAGAAGAAGAATGGAGCATTAATAGGTTACTACCTGTGTGCCATGATGTTGATCTGTTGTTCAAACCTCAAGAAACCTCTATACTACAGTAGATGATGGTTAAATACAAAATGTTTCTTCTTCTTCATGTTCACTGGCTGTAAACTTTGGCAGAAACCACTAGTTAATCATCCACTTGTGACTTCCTTTTTTGTCCTGGACTTGAATTTTGTGGAGCTGCCTTATTTGTATGCAGAATGTTGGTTCCTCGTTTCTCAGGCAGATACACTCTGACTCTGAAGGAAACAACCCTTATTATGACTTGGTTGCTGGAATCTTTTATGACTTAGTTGTTGGAGGTGGGTGGGTCTGCCCCCACCATCCTACCACACCCACAATATAGCCTGGCGATTGAACGCGGTTTCCAGGACCTCTCTACAGGTGATTCTTATCTGCATGGTGGCACTTTGTGTCACTGGGTGTTTATCGCTCTGTGTGATAAGCTGGTGGGGTAAAATTTACTTACTTACTTAAATAATTCTTCACAAATACAACTTGTCTATATTCCAAAAAGATAAAATACAAAAAGTCTATTAAAATATCTAGATAATATACAGCTACATAAAATCTGTCACTGCATTTTTTTGCGAAAGAAAACACAAAGTTTAACATGTTGTTGCTACTTAAATGTCATATAAACTGTTTACACAGTATTACAAGCTGTAATAAATAATATCAGTACTACTGGTCCTATGTATTGGCCACATCCTGATTCTGAGGCCAAAATTAAAAAAAAAAGGAATAGACCAACTGCCTCCTAAAAACCATGTTGCAACAAGTAATTAATAAAAGTTGTTTTCTTCGAAGTCAGAGGGCATCTGCCTGAGAGGTGAGGAATTAGGGAACCAAGAGTCTGCATACAAAAAAGGTGGATCTGTAAAACATATGAGCACACACAATTCAATTTCTAGAGCAAGACTAATGTCCAGAAGTGGATGAACAACCAGAAATATTTGCCAGAGTTTACAGTCGGTGAATGCTAAGAAGAAATAGTACTTCTGAATAACATAATTAATTGTATCTCCTGTTCAGAAGGAAGGTGTGCAGAACCAAGACTGTCTGTTTGAAACTCTACAACCAGATATCTAGAGTGAGACTGCCAGAAAGGTGAGAACTAGAGCCCTGTTTCTTTGCTGACACCTAAAGCGGTAAAAGAGGAAGAAAAGAAGAAGAAGGCCCATCTAATCAGATGTAGATAGTTATATTTTCGTACAAATTGTATGAGTAGACAAAACCTTGAAAAACATTCTTATGCAATAAATGCTTGTCATTGGAGGTTAATAAAAGACCTGTGGTGTGCTACACAGTGCCAGCTTCAACATGTAACTGTAAATCATGGACATTTGGTAAACAAAAAAAAACCAGAAAAAAAAACTTATTACAAACATCAGAAACATCAAAAACAGGGGTCAACATTTTTTGGCTAGATTTTGGGAAAAGAAAACCTGAAACAACAGATTTATGGACAGAGATACAAAGGAAGATACACACAAGGAGGGGGAGGTGAGGAAAACAAGAGAGAGAGAGAGAGAAAGAGAGATGAAGGCTTCCTGTTAATAGCATACATCAGTCTTTAGTCAGATATGTCTGAAAGAGCTTGCTGTGATATAACTTTGTTGCGGAAAATATTTTGCACACTGTCTTTCTGAGTTTCTCTACCCTATTATCTGTCTGCCCTCTCCTTGTATGTGGCTGTGTATATGTAAGAGCCCTTTCCCATACATGCTAGCACACACGCACGCATAGAGAGAGAAAGAGAGAGAGAGAGAGAGAGAGAGAGAGAGAGAGAGAGAGAGAGAGAGAGAGAGAGAGAGAGAAGAGAAAGAGAGAGAGATAGAGTGAGATTTTAAGCTGACAAAATCAACTTGACTGTGCTAGGTTTGATCCCACATGGCTTGGTCCTCTCTCCTCAGAGTGGCTTGTCATATGCAAAAGCTTTGCACCAAGCATGAACTCTGTGGCACCAGCAATGTTTCCTAGGAATCTCACAAGCAGTCTCAAGGGCAGATTCCTAGAACTGAACCCACAACCTTCTTAACATAAAGCTAATGATCTACCACTTTGCCACAGAGATCCCATATGTTTGTATATGCATGTATGTATTCAACATGCACACACATATACATACATCGGCTGCAAACAACAGAAAGTGAAACAAACTGAAAGATCAAACCTCAGTAATCTGACACAAATTAACACCAACAATAAGAAAAATCCAAATTTAAAAACATATACACCTCACAAATACAGGAATAATAAAACCCCAGCTATGTTATTATGAACACTGATGCACATACACTAGAGCAATGTGTAAGGATGCCAAGGGTGACCACTAACACAATTCAGTGGTTGTTTAAAAAATAAAACTTAATGTGTAACAATCAAGCATTGCTATGTTATTATCAGAACAAATCAAATTGTTTTTATATTCTAAAAATGATAGCTCTGTTTAAGTAACATCTCTGCGTGATGTAATTTGACTTTTTAAATGTCTTTGGCATCCTCAAAATATAACAAAAGCAAGGTATTTTTCTGCTATAGATTAGCTCATTCCTGACATGTGTTAAGGACGAATGGAGACCCACACATTTAATTATACCTGTAATTACAGCCAGTACAATCTACACAGAGATGCCAAACCCTTTCTCAAAAAAATATTCCTTAATTTGAAATGCTCATCAAGTCTTTCTGTACTATGTAACTCCCCATTACTGAATGGGTAATCCAAAGCCAGTATTGGACACTCTTTTATTACAGTTGGTTGTTACATTAACTGAGAAAACCAACATTGTCCATGGTTTTATAACTTTGACATTTTTTGGGAGGATTCCAACATGGGCTGCTTTATTTGATAGAACTTGAGAAGTCTAAGTAAGTAAAACTGAAAGAGTTTAAAAAGAAATCGTTAGATTTGCATTCAAGCAATAGTTTCTTATGTACATACACTTTTTTTAGAGTTATTTGAATCTGTATTGATTCCATGGCGAATAAAACAGTAGGTAAAAAAAAAAAAAAAAAAATAATAAACATTCCAGAGAAGTCTTCCAAGTTTTTATTTGTGTTGTCAAAATAGTGTTCACTTTTCACTTTAAAAACTATCTTTTAAAATTGTCATCTCTGATAAACACAGAAGATTAACATTTATGCTACCTTGTTGAATTCTGAAAATTAACTCTGTGCCAGTCAAATAAAAAAAAAAAAAAAAAAAACACAAAATATGTACTAATCATAAAAATTTTTTTTTTTTAATGCCTTGTGTACGAGTGAGACAATGGCAAGAATAAAAACATATAAAAAGTGTTAGATATCCCAAAATGCTGAAATACCAGTGAGTACATGTACGTGTAACAAACACATATACAAAATATATCAACAAACCACACAAAATATGTAATACCAAAAATATTTCACTACAAAATATTAATAATATCACATCCTAATTAATCATTTTAACAGAAGCCACAATATTCCACTCTAATGATAAAACAAGTGTAAGAAACAAAAACTCAACACTAGGAATTAATAACAGCTCTCCAACCATATCACTGAACACAGAAACAAAAGGAAAACAAAACAACCAATTAAACTGGTCATGAGCACATTTGTTACAAAACATAAATATTATAAAGAAAAGAAAACAAGAAATAGTAAAATATTGACACATAAAAATAAACTAGACTGTCAAGATCACAGGCAGATAAATGTTGGACAATGTCAAAGACGTTGCCTGATAACACAAATCCCACCCACTTACACATCACTGATGAAGAAGTGGTTTATGCAGAGTGATTGGCATAGACACCATCCAATCACAAGCACACAAGGGTGGAGCTTAGAAGCCTGTGTAGTAAGGTCTACAGGAGCGAAGCAAAAGAAAAAAATAGGAAGAATCGTGGATATTATTTCTAAATTATATGATTAATGTGTGTCATTTTATAATTATGACAAGCATTGATGATGCTTATTTTTTATGCACATGATGATGACATTGTCCTAGCATGCCAAAATATCTCACCACCATTGCCTTTTGCCCTATCAAAATATTAAAACTCATTATACAATCCTCATAAAATAAACTTGAAGACATTATTATTTTCACATACATAACAAACTACACACAAAAATATACCAACACATGTATACTATGACTGTTAAACAGTTAAATATTTGAGACAAAAATATTTGCTAAATGAGTAACTTTCATGTGGCAAAGTCTATTCTACTTAAGTAAGATGACAGACGTATCATATGGCAATAAAAAATCTTAGTGAAATGACATAACTTAAAAATAAACATCTAAATTTAAAAGTAAAATAAAGAGTTTAGAAGTTTCACTAATAATTATTGGACAGTAGCAGATAAATTATAACAATTAAAATGAGCCATGTACAGTCATTACCGGATCTCAATTTCATATTTAAGAATACAAGACTGAACTAAAAAACAGGATTAATTTGAAGAACAAAAAATTAATACAAGACTAACTAAATAAATTAATATTAAAAAATCCATTCAAAAACTAGAGGAACAAAATATATATGTCAATATAAATTTTCATTATTTCATATAAGTGCTACATACCATGGTGTTGTAAAAGACAACTGCAGTACGTGAACAGGTTGTCGCTAATATGGTCTGTTGGCATCTTTAGGACGTTTTAGTTGTACTTTCAGTCTCTTCATGCCAATCTGGAATCCGTTCATTGCTTGAATGGCAGTCTGAGCGCTGGCAGGATTATCAAAGCTGACAAATCCTGGATACATTAAGTTGACCGTTAATGGGTCATTAAAGTAACAGTAGTAGTCAATTAATCAATGATATACTGAACATATCCTTTATTCACTGAGTATGACTGTTAATGGGTCATTAAAATAACGGTTGAGTTAGTTGCGTATCCTTTACAGGACTTTGCAGAACCAACCCCACCAGCCCCTGTGTGGTTTTTCTAGACAAATTTACGTCCAGTAGTTTGCCATTGCTTTCTTGATACCACTGTCGAAACCAACGCAAGGCGTATAGCTCGTAGCTAGGATCAAACAAAATAACAGTAGTAGCAGTATTTAAATAAAAATATTCTGAACATATCCATGATACATTAAGTATGAGTGTTAACAGATCATTCAAGTAACAAAAAAAAATAAAGGATGCTTTCCATGCCTTCAGGGCTAGACCTATATTTTCTAGACTAGTCAGCACTTAGTGGGTGATGTGGCCAGGATCACATTTACCTCCTTTACTTCCCTGGCCAGACAACATCTCACTGGAAGAAATCGAAGCACTGGGAAATTTTGGAATTGAAATAATAACTAAACTTTTAAATGATATTTATAACAGTGGGTATATTCCAAATGACCTTTTAAAATCCATATTTATAGCTCTGCCGAAGAAACCAGGCACTTTAAAATGTGAAGACCATCGCACAATAAGTCTTATGAGTCACATGACTAAGATTTTACTGAGAATAATTATGAGAAGAATAAGAAACAAAATTAAACCAGAAATCAGCGATGAACAATGTGGATTTGTAGAAGGAAAAGGTACAAACAATGCCATATACATCCTAAGGACATTGTCAGAAAGAGCTTTAGAAGTAAAGACTGATTTGTACTTATGCTTCATAGACTATAAAAAAGCATTTGACTGTGTGAAGCATGAAGAAGTAATCAAACTGTTAGAAAAATTAAACATTGATGGGAAAGATCTAAGAATAATAAAGAATATGTATTGGCAGCAAACAGCAGCTATAAGAATTAACAACTGTTTAGGTACATTTCAAAGCATAAAGAGGGGCGTACGACAAGGATGTGTACTTTCACCTGATTTGTTTTCAATATACAGTGAATATATTATGAGATCTTTAATTGATATGCCCGGAATCGTGGTTGGTGGGCACAATATAAACAATTTACGTTATGCTGATGACACAGTCTTGATAGCAACAAGTCAGAAAGAATTACAGGAAATGATAGACATTGTGGTGTTAGAAAGTGGAAAAATGGGCCTCAGTTTGAATAATGGGAAGACAGAAGTAATGGTGGTATCAAAGAAACAAATTATTCCTAAATGTGTAATAAAAGTCAATGGTGTTATTTTAAGACAAGTACAGAAATTTAAGTATCTGGGCACATGGATAACATCAGATGGAAGATGCATAACTGAAATAAGAAACAGAATTGGACAGGCAAAAACTGCATTTTATAAAATGAAAAACATCTTGTGCAATATATCCTTGTCATTGAGAGTTAGAAAAAGAATTCTTGCTTGCTACATACATCCAGTTTTAACATATGGATGTGAATCCTGGACAATCGGTAGGCAGGCCAAACAATTTTTGGAGGCCTCAGAGATGTGGTTTTACAGAAGAATGCTTAGAATACCTTGGACAGCCAAAAAGAGCAGCCAAGAGGTTTTAAAAGAGGCGGGAGACCGAAGACAACCTATCACTGACATCAGAAGGAGACAGTCATCATTTTTCGGCCATGTTATGAGAAGAGGGAAAATAGAACATGTTGTGACCACTGGAAAGATCTGTGGAAGGAGGGATAGAGGAAGACAACGAGAGAAGATGCTTGACAGTCTTGTTGCATGGCATGGAGGTGTGTCGGCACACGAACTGATACATGCTGCAGGAGATCGCGGATTATGGAGAGGCATGATCGCCCACGCCAGTCGGCAAGGCACCTGATGATGATGATGACTTCCCTGGAGACCACCTGGTACCCATTCAAAGCTGGGTCGACGTGGGAGAGGAGGTCATTAACAAACAGAAGATTCTGGTACCGTTACGACCCAAACCCTCGACCTTCCGATCTGCAGGCGAGTATTTAGCTGCTAAACATGTCAACTCCCTATTAAAACAGTAGTGGTAAATCAATGATATCCTGTTTAACTCTTGTAGGTTACTTAAGGCTTGTCTAGAGTTGTTTTTCTGTTACCGAAAATTTATGTTTGTCACTTACTTTTGCTTTGTAAGTTTTGCAAAGATTACACACTAATTATAAGAGATTATAAGATTACAGACTATACGTGTTAAATATAAGCTATTTTGAGTGTACTTTTTACATAAGCGTGATAATCTGATTGTGTTATCTATTTCTGGAAAGATTTAAATCGATATAGACAACTATTATTTTACTCTGTGATTTTAATATCTTGTACAGTATACATATTTGTTCTTCCGAGGTACTATTGTTCTCTAGAGCTATCTATCTTGTTATGTTTTCTTTTGTCATAATAATAGCAGTAATTCAAACAACCAGCGTGATGCTGACCACATCACCCATCTTGTGCCGATTGGTCTATATGCCCTGCACGCCTAAAGACATGGAAAAGGGACCTTTACTTTAAAAAAAAAATTCAAACAACATTATCCTGTTCAACCCACCTGGGATAAAAAGAGTTGCTTTGTTCTATGGCAATCAGTATTGTGTATTTATATTTTGAATTAATTTTGGTCACTTAATTTTGCACAGGTTATGTTGGAATTGTAACAGATGGTATGAATATAAATTGTTTAATTGTTTTTAGTGTAATTGTTAAAACATTTATGAGAATAATATTGTGTAATTTATCTTTAGGATTATTTAATTGATGTGGGATATTATGTTTCTGTTTTACCAAATAAGGTGGAGACAGGCATGCTCTGTGCAATGTAGTAAAAATCACTTCAAAGGTCCTGAGTAGTTAGCATCCTTTGGATATTTTCTCCAGGGAATGCCGGTGTACTGGGAAATGAGGTTCTGCACCCCTTGGGGATGTATGACAAGCTGGATGTTGTGAGGGCTCTTTGAACAGTGCCGAGGCACATATAGATCATTATGGTCTGAGGAGAATGGCACTGTGAGGGTTACAGTGGCAGACACTCGATACTCATGGGAAAGATGAGATGGATAAACAATCAGACAGTTACTGGTACCATCAGAATGCACACACATACATTATGTTTTTTCCAACAATTTTTGCAATCTTTCTCTAAACTGTCTTGAACAAATCTCTATATTTAAAATCATTAATAGAAGCCAATAGATACTCTGTATCAATAAGAATACGTTTTTCTATATCCACCTCCCATGATAAATATGCATTTCATTACGATGTGAATAAAAACTGAACATCACAATTTGTTTATTAAAAATTTTTAGAATTATAATTAACCTTCATCATGTGGAAAATAAAATACACTGATTTCTAAAGGGAAGTCACTCTACAATTTGTTTTCTATATTCAAAAGTGTGCATCTCGCAAGTTTTGGTTTTGACAGTTTCAACATTTATCTTTTAGAATTCATACTTCTTGCAATAAAGTAAATGTTTAATAATACTTCTGAAATACATGGACGTCGCTTGGTTCAACAAAGCCTGGTATATGATATCACAAAGTCTAGTTTGAGAATGGAGGTGGAGGCAGTCACTGCTGCCTTATGCTGGCTTGAAAATCAGCTGTACACACATGTGGTCATTGTAACTGACTCATACATAGAACATGTTGAGAAAGGTGCTTAGTGGCAAGCATCACTTCAGAGGTCCTGGGTAGTTAGCATCCTTTGGATATTTTCTCAGGGTGATGCCGGTGTGGTGGGAAATGAGCAGGCAGATAGACTGGCTGGTTCTGTACCACTTGGTAGTGAATTAATGTATGACAAGCTGGATGTTGTGAGGGTCTTTAAAAGCGAGTCAACAATGCAGAGGAACAGATAAATCATTATGGTCTGAGGAGAATGGCATTGTGAGGAGTTACAAGGGGATCTGGCCGATGCTTGACACTCAGGGGAAAGGCTAGATGGATATACAATCAGACAGTTACTGGTACTATCAGAATTTCAACTCCTTACTTGCTGCTGAAGATGGGGACGGATCGCTTATGGGTGTGTCCCGAGTGCTGTGATGTCGATTCTTAATTCAACATTGATATTCAGAATGTGTGTCTTCTATTATATTAGTGGTCTCAGTAACTTTTTTTTAAAAAAGCATTTGCATCTTTTTTTCTTAAAGTATGTGGCAAATGGTGTTAGTCACTATATCTGCCCAAAACACTGTTTCACATGTACTGTAAGTGAATAAAGGACCCTTTTCATGTGGGTAGGGCAAATGATGTTCAAATGACCAAATGGCACTTGATGAGTGATGTGGTTATCAGGTCATCTATCTTTACTTCCCAGGTAAATAACTTGCATAATTTATCATAATTGTATTGTTTTATTTATAACATATACAATAATAAAATAGAATAATTTTAGGCTGGGCCATTCCAGGAGCCAAGACTATTTTTAAAGCAAATCCAATTTGATGCAGATTCAAACCATATTCTGCTATTTTTTTTTTTTAAAGTTAACACATTTTTTTCTTTAATGCATTATACTAAAACATCTAATAGGATCTCAACTGGCTCCACATGCCTCTCTTTTCTTCTAATTTTACTGTTATTCATGATGTACTGCAGTCCCCCCCCCCCCCCAAACCCCATAAAAAGTGTGGATTTTCTCTTGTGATGTAGATAACCATTTATATCTTTGAGCTGATTTCTCTGAAAACAAATCCATGTTTCTTATGTGTTCATGATGTTTGACTTCTGATTCTTCTATTTAACCTATCTTAAAAGTTGCTAAATAATTTCTCTCAAATCTGCAGATGCTAGCACACGATCTGGTCTTATCTCCTATTTGCCAGGTTGTACTTGTCCAAGGGTTGTAATCTGAGTCACAGGCACATTCTTCTACATATAACAGTATCTATGACTTACAAGCTGTGAACATATTTTCACAATCCCAGCATACTAGGATTTGAAGCCAACTATAGGCAATGTGGTGGCAGGCTTCTTCACATTTGATTTTTAGCATGATGATGGTGTTGCCATTACAGATGCCCTAATTATAACTTTTTTTTAAAGGTTGAACAGGCTATCTGAGATCTACATTTCTGGTCTGTCACCAGATTTGAGATTTTGAAATCTCACAATGGTATGGTCAGCATTTAATTAGCAACCCAGAGGGACCAAATCCATCGATCCAAGTACTAAAACGATGGTCTCCTGCATCAGAGTTCATTGATTTGGTCACTCAGCCAACCACTGCTCTATATGTTCATTAATTATGTATAACAAACAAATCAGTAATAACCAAACTAACAAACAAGCCTTACCAAAGCATTTGCTCTGATTTGTTGCTCGATCCACATAGACTTTAGCACTTATAACATTGCCGAATGGAACAAACATCTGAGCCAGTTCTCCATCCCCAAACTCTTGTGGCAGATGGTATATGAACAAGTTACACCCTTCAGGCCCTTCCTTCTGTGCTGTGGGTATCAGAGTTGCAGGCTGGGTCAACTGCTGGAAACTACCATAGACTGCAGGGTATGCTGCTGAAATGTAACCAAAGATAATGACTGCAATAGAATGTAGCAATAATACAATTACCAGCCCTTTAAGTTAACATCCTGCAGAATTAAAACTTCTTCTTTCTCTTTTTCTTCACTAGTTCTGTTCAGCCTTTCTGCATCAGGTTGTGAAAAGGCATCAGGTGCCTGCCTTGATGCTTGCAAAGCAGATGCTGGTTTTTAATGGGCTCTGTGGTGGACTATCTGGTAGTCTCTTTGTGTAGTTTAGTACTGGTTCCACCCAAACATGATGAGACAAAACTAACATCCCTTTTAACACATAGAAGAATACCTTTGTTCTAAGAAGTCAAATCTAATAAAAACTATTTTTGGCCAACTCTATGCCACTAGACATGGGCCCTTACTACAAATAGTGAGTGCAAAATCTGTACAACTGAGATTAGATGTCTCATAATCACTTTTGGAGTAACAAAAAAGAGATCAAATAAAATCAAAAAAGTAGAAGAAGACTAGGACTCAGCCTAGTCACTCAATTAAATCCATTGTATTTGTTACTGTAAAGCTCGCTGATCTAGTTTCATTTGGTTTTATATCAATTCATTAAAGACACGCAGCAAGGAAAGACCATCCAAAAGATGAAATGTCAACATCAAGAAGATGGAATGTCAACATCAAGAACAGCTTTCAAGAAATGAAGATTAACTTATGCAAAGCATTGGAGTGAGCACACAGAAGATCCTTACACCTGCCCCCTCCCCTCCTCCCTCCCCCGCCGACCCCCAAGCACTCTGAAAAGAGGAAGATAAGAAGAGTTTTATTATTTTAAAATAAATGTCAGCAACAGAAGGAGCTAAAGAAAAAAATAAAACAAAAATCAATCCAGTTATAATGAGTCTCAATTCTAAACACATCAAACAAATGAATTTCCAACTAAAGTTAAGGGCCATTCTATTCCTGATGACAAAAGAAAAACAAACACAGCAATTGTTTAAATCTCTCTAGTTTATCCATAACACTTTTCAAACGCTCTTCAACACTTCTGCTGCCAGATGTGTTTAGCCACATCCAAGGTTTTCCAGTTTCATAATCTCTCATCAGTTCTGAGAGTTTGCACCTAATAAGGAAAGATCTTCCTGAATAATGCTGGGCACTTTTTTAGCAGTCCTTTCATTTCAAGTGGCAGTGGTGAATTAAGATTGAGTGTTAGCCAATCACAAAATTACAAATGGAACACTTTTTTTTTTCATCTAAAACGAATTCTTACAATTCTTGTTTGTGATGTTTCTCAAATACTTAACCGTGAGATTTGTAAATACCAGACTTTTAACAAACAGTTAACGGTGAGATGTGTAAATACCAGACTTTTAACAATCACAGTTACAAGTGAGATAAAGAATATTTCTTTGCATTTAATATTTAAAATAATTTAACTTTAAAAATCAATTTTTTGCATTCTCAAATCTGTTGACATGTTTGGAAACAAATTCAGATTTGCCTCTGCTTAATGCTGTCTCCAGTCAATACACATTTTATTATTGCATTTTCTTTTCTTGATTCTGACGAGTACTGTATTTCAAATATTAAATGTAATACATTAACAGACGATACAAAAACCAGGGCACTAGTATATGACCGGTGTAAAACATGATAATTCTGTAATGAATAATACAGATAAACTAGGTTAGTGATGATGAAAAGGGTATGGTTGGGGAACAGTGCAGTTGAATACATGTCTTACTGCAAAAATCTACAATTTATATTATTACCCAAGTAAACTCTTGAATGGGCAGTCAGAATGGAAGCAGATCACCTGGCTTATACAGCTAAGAACTATCATAGGTAAAATGACAACATATTTTATTCATACATTATAGTATAATTTTATTCTTCTTCTTCACGTTCACCAGCTGTAAAATCTGGCGCAAAGTTCTGGTTGTTCGTCCACTTCTGGACTGCAGTCCTGTTTCAGAACTCAAGTGTTGTGTGTGCATCGTTTGACAGATCTGACTTATTTTTATGCAGACTGTTGGTTCCTTGCCTCTCAGGCAGACGCACTCAGACTTTTGTATCTCTTTTGGCCACTCATGCTGCCTTTCTCAGACATCATCTTCATCTGATATTTTTCAATATACTAAAAGTTTAAAAAAAAACAACACCACAATAGTTATGTATAAAAACATGTACAGCAAATGTCTTAACATAATCATGTAGATAACAAGACAAAACCAAGTGTACATGTTTACATGTACAGAAAACAGCCAATCTCACCTATCCCAGCATACGAGGGTATAGCAGCATAGGCTTGTAGAGGGTCACCATTAGTCACAGCTGAAAGGTTAAAGGCGAACAAAAATGAACAAATTCAACATACCACAAACAGATATGCTGACAGTGATAATCTTTGACCAAGGAGAACAAATAAAAAACCCACAAACATATCTGCTTGCCTTGGTAATCATGAACCAGAAAAAAGAAAAGAAAAATAAAGTTCCTTAGTGGTCCAGTTGGATTTAGTTTTTATTAATAAATGAAGTGAGCTGTACATCTTTTTCCAGGATATGGCAAACTAACTTGCAGCATTTATTGGCAGTTCATACCTCTCGACAAATTTATGTTCAGTGGTTAACCAGTGCTGTCTTTATGGTATAAAACAGATCCTTCCCCCCCCCCCCCCAAAAAAAAAAATGGTCTGCTAGCAAATCGCCTGCAGCTGACTCTGAATCCCACTATATTCTCCTGTGTGTGCAGTATAATGAAAGGGCAAGGACATAATAAAAGGACAATGACATAATGAAAGGACAATGAGATAATGAAAGGGCAATGACATAATGAAAGGGCATTGACAGAATGAAAGGGCAATGACATAATGAAAGGGCAATGACATAATGAAAGGGCAATGACATAATGAAAGGGCAATGACATAATGAAAGGGCAATGACATAATGAAAGGGCAATGACATAATGAAAGGGCAATGACAGAATGAAAGGGCAATGACAGAATGAAAGGGTAAGGACATAATAAAAGGGCAATGACATAATGAAAGGACAATGACATAATGAAAGGGCAAGGACATAATAAAAGGGCAATGACATAATAAAAGGGCAAGGACATAATGAAAGGACAATGAGATAATGAAAGGGCATTGACATAATGAAAGGGCAATGACATAATGTAAGGGCAAGGACATAATGAAAGGGCAATGACAATGAAAGGGCAATGACATAATGAAAGGGCAAGGTCAGAATGAAATAGCAATGAGATACTGATAGGGCGATGAGATACTTAAAGGCAATGAGATAATGAAAGGGCAATGACATAATGTAAGGGCAAGGACATAATGAAAGGGCAAGGACATAATGAAAGGGCAATGACATAATGAAAGGGCAAGGTCAGAATGAAATAGCAATGAGATACTGATAGGGCGATGAGATACTTAAAGGCATTGAGATAATGAAAGGGCAATGACATAATGTAAGGGCAAGGACATAATGAAAGGGCAATAACATAACAATAGGGCAAGGACACATTGAACACAGCCATTTGGTTTTAGAATACTGAAAAAAGGTAAGAGAAGAAATGAATGACTATGTTACTTGTGATATTCAGGTCTACATAAAGGGAACAAATACCTGAAAAAAGCTGGGTAGGTTGGCTAAAAGGTGCAAATATTGCAGATATGATATAAACAGGTACAACAAAATCATGTCCTTGGATGAAGCAAAAAAAAGAATAAAGAAAGAACACAATCAGGTCTGATTTCTGATGTTATAACTCAAAGGAAATTAAAACTAGATTATCTTTTATAAAGCTGAAGTGGAAGTTGGCTGCAGTTGTTTAGATAGTGATAACAATTACTGGATTTTGTAATTCTTTCTTCACTGTTGTCATTTTAGGTTGTTTCAATTTGGGCTGACAGGCAAGAAACAGTAAAATTGTGATTCTTGGTCTCAAATAAAAATTCTAACCAATACCTTCAATGTTCTATGTTTCATTTTACTAAAATTTCTGACAAAGCTGCTTACCATTTCCTAGTGTGGCTGTTGTTGGGGTCATAGCAGTAGAAACCAAACCATTTGGTGCTGTGGGGAGAGTGGTCAACTGCTGGACTTGTGTGGACAACATATTGGTCAAGTAAGGACTCTGGGCTGCTGCCATCAGGGCAGCTTGCTGTTGCATCAGCTGCTGGGATTGTAGGGCTGCTGACTGCTTTGTATACACAGGCTACAAAAAATCAATGAGACAGCACATAACAACATGTTTGATGAGTAAAATAACATGTCTACTAATTAGTAGAAATCAAAATGTCTGCTGATGAGTAGAAATCAAAATGTCTGCTGATGAGTAGAAATCAAAATGTCTGCTGATGAGTAGAAATAAAACTATATGAAAATGAGTAGAAATAAAAATGTCTGCTGATGAGTATACATCAAAATGTCTGCTAACAGACTGATGAGACTTTGTAAATAAAAGTATTTGTTGACAGACTGATGACAAAATGCACATCAATTTGTCCATTAACATGGTATGTGTATAGTGTACACAAAATAACTTTATGTTACTTAATTATACAAAGTTAACATTTTCATAATCTCAAGTTTTTGGGGTTTTATGTAACAGTTTATGTCTGTATGTAGACTTAGGTAAATTTACTTGAATTTATTTATACATATGTAATATTTATTCGTAATTTAAACATTTTTCCTGTTCTGAAGTTAAAGTGCTGTTAAAGTATTGTTTATGTCTATTTGTAAACTTAAATGTTAAATTTGCTCAAATTGTTCATTGTTCAAAGTTAACACTTTTCTGATCTCAAGTTACAGAGGACTGGTGTAACTAGTTAGTCTTTGGGTAGCCCAGCAGATATATAAAAAAAAAGGACCCTTTCCCACACCTTTAGGCATAGAGGGCATATAGGGCATATGAGGCTAGACCTATATTTTATAGACCAATCGGCACAAGATGGGTGATGTGGTCAGCATCCCGCCGGCTGCCTTTACTTTCCGGGACTGCACCCGGTAACCACTCAAGGCTGGGTCAATTTGGGAGCCAAGGTCATTTCTGAAAAAAGTCTGGCTCTGCCAGGGAGCAAACCCACGACCTTCCGACCCACCCGAGCGTCTAGCCGCTCCACCAAAGTGACTCCCTCAGTAGATATATTTACTTAAATAATACACTGCTTGTACCATTAAAAAAATTTTCTGTTAATGAAGTTTAAGTGTCGTTTAGCATTACTTATGTCTATGTGTAAACTGAAAAGATAAATTTACCTAAAATTTACTTTGAATTTACAATGTAATTCAAACAGTATCTAAAATGTTATCTTTCTGAAATTTATATTAAGTAATTTATTATTAATGTACTTCTTTCTAAAAAAATATCAATATTTAGAGACTAAAAGTACTATTTAGAGCTATGTTATGTTTGCATTTATGAAAGTTACATAGTTTAAGAAAGGAGTAGCAACTTATTTTATTAAAAACACAAAAACTATAAGAAATTCTGCAGACTACAGTAAAGCTTATACAAACATTTTCTGTTCTGATTACTTTTTAAGTAGTAAGTAAGTAGGTTTACTTTGGTAAATGAATAAATACTAGGTAGGTAACAACTTATCAGACAAAATGTATATATTATGGTGTTTAAGTTTTTATATTAATACAGAAATGAGCCATGGTAGCGATGCAATTGTTCTTCATTAACTTTATTTACCCTTAAAAGAGTGGGCACAGAGCACTGTGGTTTACAACTAGGCTGTGATATTTACACCGTTTGTGCCAACCCACCCAATTTCAGCACATTCCTTAACTAGTCAACTTTTACCACATGCCTGTTAAGCGGAAATGGGTCCCCCCCCCCCCCCCCCCCATCCCATGGGGCTCTGTAAATCACACAGGGAAAATGGTTATAAAACTTGGAAACGAAAGACACTGGTCTAGGTTCAGTCCTTAGAGATTTGGTTGGATTTTTTCAACCAGAATGGCCCTTGGGTCAACACAACCATATACAAATTAGTACCAGGCTATTTTAACTCTCTCAGTGCCGCAAAACTTACAATACATTTATTTGTTACTCTTGACATGGTACACCATTCTGAACGTTTTCTGCCAGTTTATCTGTTATGTTAACCCATTATATTTTAGTTGTCGATGCACCAGCTTCTGTTCCAAACCTGTATTTTACAATTCCCAAGACTTCAGTTTTGTTGTTCTAAAGTTTGAAAAAAAAAAACTTTAGGATATGGTTGAGGAATAACTGCCTGGGAGTGAAAGAGTTAAGAATTGTTTGCCAAGGAACAAAAGGCCACAAGGAAGGGAACTGCTGACCACACCTCATATGTCATGACCTAGAATATGTGAAGATCTAACACTTCATATCCCAGCTGCTTTATCTGCTATGTGACTATCTTTACCATACACAGAAATAAAAACACCAATTATTAAAACGATTTTGCTTAGAGTGGGTAGGACAACTTTAAATCTATAATAATCATGACAGTAGTATGTCTATAATAATGCAACAGAGCATAAATATTGATGCATTTATGTATAATTTTTCTTTGTTATTAAAAGTGTGAGAACTGGAAAAGGTACAACAGAAACAAATGTAAAATTCTCTTTGTGATTTAAAAGCATGACAATTTGTAAAGCAACTGAAAATAGGTCTGATGACAGAATACAAGAGAAACTTCTTGTTATGTGATTTAACAGAATCCATTTTTGATCAATGTTTTTGTGGGCGGCTAAAATCCCTAGGTTAAAACTGTTGCAATGAAAAGTCAATATTCTTAAAAGAATGCATTTGTTCACTTAGAAAATGTCATTTACTTTTTAATAACATTTCTTTTAAAGCAGAAAGGCAAATCATAAAATCAAAATGTCAAGCTCAAAAATACAAAATCATCAATGCAATTGATCATTATCATCATTTTTATTTTTGTTTTGTTTATTATACTACCATTACTAGAATAGGTTTACATTCAAATAATAATCAAACGTTGCCTCTCTTCAATCATTTCTGTCTTCAATAATTTCTGTCTTCAATCATTTCTGTCTTCACCATAAAATAATCTGAAACATATTTCATCCTCATCATGTGCCATGCCCACAAGAATAGGCTGTCATGTTTCACCATCTCAGGCAATCACTAGAATCACAGAGCAGGTCAGTGTTCTTGATCCATTACATATGGCCAAGTCATCAAGTTAGTTATCTCTTGCTTTCTTTTTTTTTTTTTTTCAGTATTTTAGTCATTACAAGCTCTGAACTTCATTCATTCTCATAATCTGTCTAAAAACACAAATTAATGTGTGTATCTAATTTTTATCTTTTTCTCTATCATTCTATCATATTCTTAGCATGAAATTTGTCTCTATCTGTGTCAGCTCTATTATGAAGGTTGGCTGAAGTGTATAATTGCAGCCTCTACTGTCTTTAAGAATATTACGTAGTGAATCCCTAATTTCACAGAATAAATGCTTCTATGGGAGCCAGCGTGGTGAAGCGGCTAAATGCTCACCTGAGGATTCAAAGGATGGGAGTTGAAATGTGAACGGAGCTGGACGTTTTCAAAACTGACTATAGCTCCAAGGTCAACCCATCCTTAAATGGGTGTCTAGTAAAGTCCTGAGATGTAAAAGCAGTTAGGGGGATGTTGACCACATCATCCAGCGAGCACTGATTGGTCTATTAAAGTATACATCTAGTACTATATGCCCTTATATTTGAAGACTTGAAGACGAGTAAAGAATCCTAAATGCTTTTATAAAAGAGATCTGAATGTATGCAGCAGATATGATATGGCTAATCCATGTATTTCAATAGATGTATTGTTTTATAATGTATTCATCAGGCTAAGCTGAGAAAATTCTGCCAGATTATGGGAAAGCATATTACAGATAATAATAAATGAAACAACACAAGTTTCATGATAAGACTCTTGACATAAACAAGCAGTAAAAAAAAAAAAAAATGTTCACAACAAAAAGAATGAAGCAATACTATTTCCTTAAAAATAATAAATAAAGAATCTAATCCAGAAGTTGCATAATATAAAACATTAAATTATAACTAAACAAAGTTCTGCTGTAAATATGGTCACCAATGCATTAGTGCTGAGCTCTCTTTCCTATTAATTTTCTCCTTCTCCTATCACAAAACTTTATCTGCGTCTTTGGAGTATCACAGTGAGTGAGAAAGTCAAAGTCTTTCAGTGCTCTCATATTATACTATGTGACTATACACAGACTGTTCATTTCTGCAGGTTTTCTTGTCTTTACATTAAAAAAAAAATTTTCATTTAATTTCATTACTTGAGAGTAGTTGTCAAAATAGCACACCTATAAGGTTTTTTTTCTGGCAGTACAGTACAAACATACAGTACAAACACCTTTTTCGGCATAATTTTTCCAATTACATTGTAATAGAAACTCTGTAGTGAGTAATGGTGACTTTTTACAACAAAACACTTTGTGCCACCTTTTTGTTCTTTCTAGGCAAAAAAAAAAGGGACATGCTTGCCACATTTGTTATGTTTTGCAAATGATAGAAATAGTTTGTGGTAGCTTGACTTTCTTAATAAGGACATTTGTGTGTGCTTCATATACAAAATGTAAAGCATAAATATGCAGGGTCTGAGAAACCAAACCATATACCTCAAATATAACCCAGAAGATTGAACAGAAAATAAATTTTTCATCTTTTTTTTAAATTTTTCTATATACTAAATATGCAGAAGTTTTCTATATCCATTGGTAATTATGAAATAATTTCACATTTAGTAAAAATGTCCTAGCTAATGTTATTGTTTTGGTCACCTGTTTCAAAAATGTAAGTCTATAGAAATCCTTCAGTTTATTATGAATAAATGACAGACAGTTCTGTACTTTTCCATGTTACTATTGCATCCTACCTTGTCTTTTTCATGACCTGTGTTAAACCTTTATGCTCAAATAAATGTCTTTTCCTGATTTTAAATGCTGAATGGAAATGCTTTGGGCTAATTTTCATAGGCGGATTTTAATATTCTGAGTTAAATGCCATTAATTTTAGGCATATTTTATTTAATTATTTGTTTCGGTTATTTGGTTCTGAGATATGTTATTTTGGTAGACTGAAAAGAACCCCAGGGACCATTATCCAAGCACTGGAAGGGATTGGTTTACACACTTATTTGACTGTCCACACTGAAACAAGAGAATGTGTTATTTTGTAGGTCTGGTTGTGTTATTAATTGCAAAGATCTGAAGTTAAAAAAAAAAAGGTCAACAGTAGCAGAAAATGCTAGATGCTTAAAAAAGTGACATTCATGAAGGAAAACTAATAGTAAGAAGACACAAAAAAAAAAAGTTGCTTTGATAAGTGACATTCATGGAGAACAATCAATAGTAAGATAAGACGTCAAGGAGAAAAAGATTGCTTTGACAAGTGACATTCACGGAGGACAATCAATAATAAGATAGACATCAAGGAGAAAAAGGTTGCCTTGACAAGTGATATTTGTAAGGACAACCAATAGTAAGGTAGACATCAAGGAGAAATAGGTTGCCTTGACAAGTGACACTCATGAGGACAACTAATAGTAAGATAAGACACTCAAGTGACACTCATGAGGACAACTAATAGTAAGATAAGACATGAAGGAGAAAAAGGTCTGCCTTGACAAGTGACATTCATGAGGACAACCAATAGTAAGGTAGACATGAAGGAGTAAAAGGTTGCTTCGAAAAGTGAAATTCATGAAAGGACAACCAATGGCTGGACATCAAAGGAAAAGACAAGTTTTTTAACAAGTGACATTCATAGAAGACAACCAGTAACTGGACATCAAGGAGTAACAGGATACTTTTAGAGAAAGGACAGCCAGTGATTGGACATATCAAGGACAAGAACAGATCTTGTATTGAAACATGACTGCTTCATGGCTCCAGCTGTTCTTTATAATGGATACAAAATGCGAATATGAGTCACATGCCATGACAGAGGTCAAAAGACAATATTCTGATGAAGTCAGCAGTAAACTTTTTTCTATATGTAACATTTAGCATGGTTACTCCATGTTTGTAATTTCTAAGATATATCCATTATTATATCCCTATAACCAGTTCAATCCTTCTGTGTTTTAACTGGGATATGTAGAGTTTATAGTAATTTCAGGTATAGGATATTTTTGTTAGATGAATGAATGGCTGTCACATTTTATGTAGACCTCCGTGTGGGTTCTGGGGCACTGTTATAGGGAAAACAAGAATAGACCCACTGCCTACCAAAAAGCATGTCGTAAGAGTCGATTAACTGGAAGCTTCCTTCAAAGTCGGAGGGCATCAGCCTGACAGGCAAGGAACCAACAGTCTGCTCACAAATGTGTCAGATCTGTGAAACGGATGAATACGCAACACTGAGGTTCTGGAATTGGACTGCAGTCCAGAAGTGGATGAACAACCATAGCTTACAGCTGGTGAACGCAAAAAAGAAGATTTTATGTAGATTTTCTTAGCATTTATTTTCAGATAATTAAGAATTACATTGAATGGTGGCCTTAGGTGACACAAACTATTGTAGCCTCACAACACATTATATGCTGACACTAGGGATGTTATCCATTGTTTGCGTAAGTTCATAAATGTAAGTACACATAATATTATTTTTAATATTTATTATTGTTTGAAATTAGTGTTAGAGTTAGAGACAGGGCTAACCCTAACCCTCATCCAAACCTTAACCCTAACCCTAATCCAGTCTGTAACCCTAACCCAAACAATATTAAATATTACAGAATATTATTATGTGGATATGCATAAAAAAAGATAATGTCCCTTATGGTCACAGTAAACAAACAACCTTCATATCCTGCATTACAATTTGTATCTGTGATGGAGTGTGCAATATTTACTGGGAGTTCTCATGAGCTATGAAGCTTTAAATAATTTCTTCTTCTGTCCAAACAAATAAATCCAGGGCTAAAATAAACTACTTTTCAATGCAAAAACTCAAATTGGATCATTTAAATTTTTCTATCTTGACTACATGGAACTTAAAAGGATAACTAATATTGCTAAACAAAGCTTGATATCATGACAGGCAAAGTGGCAGTAACAAAAGAATGCAATTTTAAGTAAGAAGCAAATGTGAAAAAATAGGCAATATTCACCTGAGGGTAGAGAGTCTAGAAAGATAGGGACAAATAAGAAAACACATGTTGATAATTTGGTATAATATATTCTAGAGTGGTTTGAAGGTATACTAATCACAAGATAAAATATTTGCCTCCGGTTACAGAGCAGATATATTTTTGACAGGTTTTGAAAATACAGCCACTGGTTACACTATGTAGAAGGGATATTTGTGACGTGTGTGAATATATATGTACTGGTAGCAGTATAAAAGTTAAAAGTTAAGGTCTCTTTTTCACGCCTTTAGGCGTATAGGGCATATAGGGCTAGACCAACCGGCACAAGATGGGTGATGTAGTCAGCATCATGCCGGCCGCCTCTACTTCCCGGGACTGCTCCCGGTACCCACTCAAGGCTGGGTCGATCTGGGAGTCAAGGTCATTTTTGAAAAAAAGTTTGGCTCCACCAGGGAGCGAACCCACAACCTTCCGATCCGCACGTGAGCGTCTAGCCGATATGCCACAGGGACTCCCACTGGTAGCAGTAGGTGGAAGGTATAATGTGACAAGAAAAGTTTATTTCAGCCCAAACCACTCATTTTCTGCAAACTCTTAATGAGTAACCTTTCATGATATGATTGTTGGTTGGGGAAAATGGTGGTGTGGAGGGGGGGGGGGGAGGTCGATTCTTTGTTTTCTGTCTAAACTGGAATCATAAACCCACAACGGTAGGTGATTAAACATCACCCTGTAATATTTTTGAGACAAAACCTAACAAAATAATGTTCTTAGAGATAACAAATAATAAAAGTGCTGTTTCTGAGGATAACATTTCATAAAGTAATGATTTTTGTTGTTGAGATTAAACATCAAAAAGTCATTATTTTTTGGGAGAAAAAAAAACGAAATAATCTTATTAGAAACAGAACATAACAAAATAATATTCTTGGAGATAAAAGAAACAAAGTTGTGTTTTTGAATATATGTAGGCTACCACATCTCTCAAGGGACCATGGAGCTATGCCCCTGGTTTTAAGAACCCCGCCTGCTATGACTGTGAAGTCCAATGTGGGTGTAGCAGTCCCTGTCTTATAGTCTACAGTCTCTGTCTCATAGTCTACACAAAAACGTTGATTCTCTATTATACTGAGGCTGGTCTTCTCTCAGACATCTCATCTCTATAGTTTGATGGGTTTAGCCTCTAGCAAAATGCAACAGACTGTCTTTTACTGTCTTCTCCACAGGAGTCCATCTGCTGCTGTTTTCTCCCAAATGTCTGTGTCAATGTTGGTATCTTTTGGGTAACATTTACATTTGCCTTTATAGTGTTGCCTTGGCCTTCTTGCAAATCTTTCCCTGTTTCCAATTAACCATAAGTAGACCCTGTCCCACTCAACACAAACAGTTGAAGACACAACTTAATAAAGTAATGCTTTCTGAGATAAAAGCATATCAGAGCACCATATACATTGCATTTTAGATATATGTACATTTTCTACGGACTTGTCAATATATCAAGCTGGATGCACAACTTTCGCAACTTGATTTAAAAAAAAATGCTCTATCTGTAACAAGAAGGCAAGTAATAAAGAGCCGTTATAGTGTGTCAATGACTACATTGTGGTTTTCAAGCACAATTTAACATAAGCAGAACTGTCCACTAGAGTTTCCAGCCAGTGAATGTGAAGAAGACAAAGAAGATATGATGTTTGAGACAACTATGATATCTGAGACAGCTGTGATGTTTGAGACAACTATGATATCTGAGACAGCTGTGATGTTTGAGACAACTATGATATCTGAGACAGCTGTGATGTTTGAGACAACTATGATATCTGAGACAGCTGTGATGTTTGAGACAACTATGATATCTGAGACAGCTGTGATGTTTGAGACAACTATGATATCTGAGACAGCTGTGATGTTTGAGACAGCTATGATATCTGAGACAGCTGTGATGTTTGAGACAACAATGATATCTGAGACAGCTGTGATGTTTGAGACAACTATGATATCTGAGACAGCTGTGATGTTTGAGACAGCTGTTGTGTAGCTGGTCTAGTTGGTCCTGTAGATGTTTACTTTCAAGTGGAATAAGTATTGTTATTGTTTCAGCCATTACAGATGCCGTAATTCTAACTTCTTAAAAGGTTGAATATAATATCTGTGATTTATCCTTTTGGACCTCCAGCTAAGATGTGACTCTTTGAGTCACAGGGGTGTTCAATTATTACTTATCAGCCTGGAGAGAAGAAACTGTTAGTAAGACGGTTTGATAATGAACATTCTAAAATATTATGATGACGAGCAAAATACAAAACTACTGCAGAAACAGATATTCACCTGTGGTGCCAGAGTCTCAAATGAGCTTACACGTGCCAGTTCATACGGAGATTCCATCTGTCAAAATAAATAATAAAAATGTGTTTACCTACAGCAATATACATATGACAGCGTAAAATGTTTAAGACAATCAATCAATCAGGTGCCGTCTCCACAATAAAGGTTGGCTGCAATGGATCTCCAACAAGCCCTGTCTCTTGCCCTTGATGTACACTCACTCATACTGCTGTTCGGCCATCTCTTGATGTTATCCTCCCACTTGTAACGCTGTCTGCCTTTTGCTCGCCTACCTTGAACCTTTCCCTCTAGGATGATCTTTACAATACTGTTATGTCTTTTAATGTAACCAAAATATTTCACTTTTCTCTTTTTTATTTCACCTAGCAACTCTCTTTTCATTCCCAATTTCCTCAATAATAAACAATCTGAGATATGCTGACGACACAGTGTTGCTAGCAGAGAGTGAGCAAGAGTTGCAAGACCTAGTGGAGCAAGTAAACAGAAGGAGTGCAGAATTTGGATTCGATATAAATTTGAAAAAGACAAAAACCATGATATTTAGCAAAGAAAATAATCAGCTAACAATGAATATCACAGTGAACGGGGTGAAATTGGAACAAGTTAAAAATTTCTTATATCTTGGACAAGTAATAACATGTGACGGCAGAAGTGAAACAGAAGTCAAGAAAAGAATAGGGATGGCCAAAAACATTTTCAACAACATGCAAAAGTTACTGACATCAAGAGAAATAAGCAATACATTAAAAATGAGAATTGTCAAATGTTATGTATTCTCAACCTTACTGTATGGCACAGAGACATGGACAATGAACAAACAACTGGAAAATCGTATCAATTCTTTGGAGATGTGGATATACAGAAGATTAGGTCGTATTTCATGGAAACAAAAGCTATCTAGTTTGTCAAACTTTCAGCAATCCCAAGAAAAAAAAAAACTATCAACCAACTGTTAAGAAAGGTTAGATACCAGCTAAAATTTCTCAAAAACAGTCATCCTGTTTTCTGATGCAGCGGACACAGAGTGGTGATTACGGTGTCCCTGTAATCTGTAATTGGATTACTGGTTGATTTGATTATATTTTGATCTTCCAGCATCTCTCTGCTTTCTCATTTAATCTGTTACTTGATCTCTTTCTGGCAATTTTTCAGATCCAGAATAAATAAAGCAATCATCACTGCAGTAATGTCAGAATGTGATGTAATTATAGTAGCAATAATTTAATCAATGATATCCTGTTCAACCCTTCTGGATTATGGATTTTTTAAGTCTTGCTCAATATTGGATATTTATGTTTGTCAATTACTTCTGGTTATTTAATACTGCATAAATTAGGTATTAGTTTTAACAGACTGTAGGAGTATTAGCCCTTCAATATCTGCTAAAGTCAAAGTCTCTATCTCGCAACACCAAGATCCAAATATATCATATGTTGAAACTTGGAGCACAAATAAAAGAGATGAAGCTTCATTAAAAATTTTTGAAAACAGAGTATTACGACAAATTTTTGGACCCACCAAAGATGCAAACAGCAGGAAAAGAAGAGTGAGAAGCAAAAACGAAATTCATAATCTGTTTAAATCACCACTGATCCCTGGCATCATGAGATCTAACAGACTGAAATGGCTTGGGCATATTGAGAGAATGTCAAATGACAGAGAGGTAAAAACTATATATACAAGGGCGCTGAATAGTCATAGACCATGAGGCAGACCAAGAAATATGGACAGACCTACAAACACTTGGTGTCACCAGGTGGAAAGAGAAGGCCAACCAGAGAAATGAATGGAGGTGGCCGATATCTGCAGCAATGAACCTCAAGGGCTCAGAATGCTGAAGAAGAAGGAGTATAGATTGTTAAATTTAATATATATTTTAAGTATCTTTTTCTACTTCTTCACGTCTTCTGTTACCACTGTCTATGTTGAGGAAGATATAAGATTCTGCTTCTTGTTCTTCTGGCTGCATTGACAAAAGACACATTGTGCTGTTGTAGAGTTTTCTGATGTTATCTTTCCATCATGTTCTTGGTCTGACTTTTGCTCCATGATCTTCTTCTCTTTTGATGTAAGCCTTGTATGGTATGGCATCACAAGGCCTTCTCTCAAAGTAGGCAAATCCCTCCATCTGCTGTAAATTAGTCAACAGATCATCCTCACTACACATCCTCATCATTTCTATCATCTAGGCATGGCTTAAAAGAGAGATGCCACGATGCTGATTCCATTCTCACTTGCTTCCTTTGTTTTTCCACAATGGTATTTTTCTTCTCTTCCATCTTATATCTCCTCGAAGTGTCGGAGGAGATGTAAAATTTGTTGATGAGCTATGTTAAGAGCACTGTTAAGACTGATGTTCATTTCTGTAAGACTGTTCTTAATGCCATCACTCCATATTTTTCTAGGTCTTCCACTCACTCTATACTCGTTGTAATGTTTTAGTGTGGCTCGCTGTGGCAGATAGTACCAGGGCATTCTTGTTAGGTGACCAGACCTTTTCATTTGTTGTTCTTTGATGACCTGTTATACTGGCTTTATTCCTAGCATACTTCTGATTTTGTATTCTGTCTTTCCTTGAAACTTCTGCAGCTCTTCTAAGGCATTTCATCTCTGTTGTCACAATTTTAAATTCAATGGAGGATGCAAGTGTCCACGTTTGGCACTGATAGCATAATGTTGGCCAAAACACTTTTAGTAATCTGCTTGTGTGTCAGCAGGGAAGATAGTTGCCTGATAACCTCTGGCACATCTCAAGCTAATTTCTCTGTTCAGTTTTCCGTGGGATGGGAAAAGTGCTCCCAAATTCTTAAATTCCTTTGTTTGTCTTAAGGGGTTTTAAAATTTTATTTCTAAATTGTTTTTCTGTCTTCCTATCACCATTGTCTCTGTCTTCGGAATGTTTATTTTCACATTAAATTCCTCCCCTTTGTTACCAATTTGACTTAGGTGGTTCTGTAGGCATTCCATACTTTTTGCTATGATTACCTGGTTGGCAAACAAGTAATTCTGTATATCTTCCTCATGATTAAAGTTTGTTTTGTTACGTATTGTATCCATGTATGTTATAAAAAGAAGCAGCTATAGTACACAGTCCTGACACACACCAGAGTTCACTATAAAAGTTCTTGACAACCCTGCCTTCGATCTTATGCAGCATTTACTACATGTGTACAAGCTTTTGCAAATATTAATGAGATGATTGCTGATTCCCTTTTCCCCCCATACATTCCCACAACATATTCCAGTCGACTCAATCAAAGACTTTTTCTTGGTCTTTGAATGTCAACAAGCATGTCTTATCATGTTCTTTTGCTCTCTCTGATAGTTGTCTCAATGTAAAAATTGCATCTGTGCAACTTCTGCTTCGTTGAAAGCCCATCTGTGCTTCTGAATGTTGATACTCTTTCAATGGTTTTAGTCTTTTTTCGATGATCTTAGCATACATTTTCCCAGTGTGACTGAGAAGCGATATTCCTCTGTAATTAGTACAGTCCGTCTTACTTCCTTTTTTTTTCCATAGTGGGACGATAACAGTAGTTTGCCAATTTGATGGTGTTTATTCACAATGGTATAACTATTGAAAGTTGCTTGTCAGTGGGGGCTGTTTTGTTGTACCCATGCTGCATTAAATATTTTCTGAAGCCATCTGGTGTTGCTTTCACCTGCTGCTTGGATTATTTCTTTTGGTCTATCAACTACTTAAGCTTTATATGATGACTTTTTGTATTTTATCAATGAGTATAGCTGGTTCTAGCAGTGGTCTTGAGTTGTTCTCTTCTGATAATCTCCTTATGGGTTATAGAGCTTACTAAAGTATTATCTTCAGTTTTCTGCTTTTTCTAGTGGATCTGTTGATGTCCTTCCTGTCTTATCATTCATAATTTTTGTAGGGTTGTTACTCTCATCTTTTTTTCCCCATACGTTTGACTACTTTGAAAATTGTTTTGCTGGTTGTTCTCACTTTTTGCTAATGACTCTCTTAAACGTTCACAGGATTCTTGTTTTGCTTTCTTGACCTTCCGGCTGGTTTTCTTTTCATTGCACTCTATAGTTTATTTAATCTACATTTCTATTTTACTTTTTCACACCAGCAAAGTGAACATTTTCTATAACTCAGTCTGTTGCCACTCTTTAGTTTTCCACAGATATATATATATATATATATATTACTATCATTTATCATCCCCACTGTTTGAACATTGGACATTTTCCTTTCCATTTATGCAACTAACAGTGTACATCAAGTACAAATGCATTTCCTAATTCTGAGAAAACTGCAACAAATTAGATCTCCCTAAAAAATTCACAAATAAAAAGACCAGGGAAAAATGTCTTGCCTTTAAATGCACAAATTTGGCATTGCGCAATAAATGAAACATTTATTTACTTTGTCATTTTCAAAAATGTATTTGCCTTCTCTTTGTTTACCCTCATCGCAAGAATTAAACTGGTCTGTTGATTCTATCTGCAGCGTCGTCATATTGTGATCAGAGCTATTGATGTTTCTCATTGTGCATGCAGCATGGAAATAATTAGTTGGAGGTTATTTCCACTCAATCAATAAGCTTCTAAGATGATGCAAGACAGGATCCATATTGTTTTTCTTTCCTTGCCTAATCAGGCAATCTTTAAATGTCATCAGTTCTGATAACTTAAAACAACACAATCTAACTGGCTGCATTCACAGCTACAATTATTATCACAAAGAAAAATAAAATTTGGACAGCCAGATTTGAATGCATTTTATGGCCGACACTTTAAAAGAAGTGAAACATGCACAGTTTGAATATACTGCAAATGCATGCATTGTTCGAAATTATCATGGTCACAAATGATCTCAATTTATCTAGTTTTACAGCTTATCAATTATTTTATTATATTAGGGGTGTTCAATCATGACAGACCTTCTATAGCCTGGTCATGTGCATACTGTTGAAAAGAAAAAACCCACCACCAAAAGTGATGCAGCAATACAGGTGAACTGTTGTTGAAGCATACGTTCACAAGCAAAAGAAAGGGATGTGTCAATTGAGATGGTTCAAAAGACTTTTCATAAGAAACTGTCAGATCAAAAAGTGTGTGGATGTTGACTGACCGCCAAAAGGAAAAACACATTGGATGGTGTTGCTATATCAGTCTTGGACAGATTTTAGACAAACCCAGCCATTCAGAAACAAAACCTATGCATCATGGGATGATGAGCCTGTGCTGTTTTATTAACTGGTCAGTTCTTATCACATGAGTATGTCATGCTCAGTGCAAACAGTTATGCACAGTACGGAACAAACAGGTTTCAAAGGAACGCCCTTATATCTCCAGAAAAACTTGTGTATCATTTATTATTATGATAGTCATTGAAGAATGTAACATTCTTTTGGCCTACTGAATGCTCCCATTGTTGAACTTGGACCTTTGCTACAAAGTGGAAAATCATTGCAACAGAGATAAGATGACTTAGAAAAAGCATGATAAGGTGGATTTGCCATTGGCATAATAAGTGACGCTACTTATAGACTTTTGACCCTCCTTGTATATCACTTAGATGCTTCATGAATCTACTCTACTGAACTGTTAACTTCTTCACTCAAACATCCTTTAAACTCAGCCATTATTTGTTTATTATAACAACCTCTTGTGGCATTGTGGGCTACACTGAAATCTACTTAGAACTGGAGGAGTGAAATTCTGGGCCTGCAAAAACTGATATAATAACTCATTGAAGAAATGGATTTAAGTAGCAGCCGGGATAGAGTTAGATAATGAAACAACTGGATGTGTGACACAAAGTTAATTTGGGCAGAATATGAAAGGTACTGTATTTGTCGGTGTATAAGACAGCCCCATGTATAACTACTTATATGTTTTATCTCAAAAATAAGAAATAAATATTTTAAACGTGCTGTTGCAAGCCCCAATTTTAAAATGAAAACATCTGGAAAAAAATAATCATCTGATAAACAGAAAAATACAGTACGAGGATAAGATGAGATACACAGAAAAATACAGTAAGAGGATAAGATGAGATACACAGAAAAATACAGTAAGAGGATAAGATGAGATACACAGAAAAATACAGTAAGAGGATAAGATGAGATACACAGAAAAATACAGTAAGAGGATAAGATGAGTAAACAAAAAATGTCATGCCACTTGTGCACCAGGCATATGGTGCTTGACCAATATTTGGCCACCTTTACTTCCCAGGACATTTGATGATGCCCATTTTGATCATGCAGGAAGCTAGCAATCAATCAATAAGTGTGCAGACTGGTACCAACTGAGTTAGTGACTAAGTTACCCTCCAGGCTGTTGAAGGATTTTTTGATTGATTTGAACAATGGATGAACATCATGGCACAAGAGCAGTAACCCATAAGTGCTCCATTCTACTTCTAACTCAGCCTGAGTTCAAAGAATCTCAGCGCAGTGCATGAACTCCATAGCACCGGTGATGATCCTGAACTACTTTTTGTTAGATTCTAAACTCCAAACGCCACCTGGGCAGTGCTGTTAGGCTACTATTTTCAATTTCCAACTGCCAAGGGATTTTTTTTATATGCCTAGAGATCAGTGGAAATTACTAGAAGTCCCAGTGAAAAAATTCAGTCTTTAATGGGGCCTGAACCAGGGCTCTCCAGCACTCAAGGCGGTTGCCTTGATCCGAGACCACCATGCATGAAGTTTGGACCATCACAGTGGATCAGAGCCACATTCTGGATGCCATTCCAACATGGCAAATCCCAGATATCTCATTCAAACCTCTTGAATATTTCTAATTTGTAAACTAACCCTTTCGCTGCTATGGACGTATATATACATCTGTCTAGTAGACTACTAAAGTTAGAACATAAATTCAGTCACCCCCTCGTGGGATGCAATTGTTTGTTACTTTGAAGCCCCACCCTGGCTCTTGCCAGGGTCCGCAATATAGCCCAGCCATAAATATGGCCTGATTGCTGAACGCGGTTTCCAGGACCTCTCCACAGGTGATCCTCATCCGCATGGTGGTACTTTGTGTCATCAAGTGTTTATCGCTTATGTGATGTCCTAGTGGGGTAAAATGTATGACTACTACTACTGCTACAGTTGTTAATGCCTTTCACATCCCCTTGTAGGATGCAATTTTTCGTTACTTTGAAGACCCACCCTGGCTCTGGCCAAAGGCCCTAAATATAGCCAGGCCTAAAATATGGCCTAACGGCCAAACGGGGATTCTGGTACCTCTCCACAGGTGGTCCTCATCCGCATGGTGGAACTTTGATCTAATATTGTCACTGTGTAGGAAAACTGTATTTATAAAAGAAAATTATTGATCATGGAAATGAAATGTATGAGAAAGATTCTAGGAGTGACCAGAAAAGATAAAATCAGGAATGAGGTCATCTGAGATAAAGTCGGCACAGAACTAATTCTAAATTACATAGAAAGACAGCTAATCAAATGATTTACCCAGTTAGAAAGAATGCCTTTTGATGCTATACCATACAAGGTATATACCAAACGAGGAGAGGAACATACAGCAAGAGATAGACCAAGACCAGAAGAAAACATCAGAGAAACTCGTCAGTACCATGATGTGTTTATGGTCGAAGCAGCCAGAATAATAGGAAGCAGGACCTTATATCTCCCATGACAATCAAAGCGGTGAAAGGAAAACTGTCTGAAGATACAGATATCTAATTCACACCTCATGTCATTGGCAGATACGAATGTGTTTGTGTTTGTATTTAGGCATTCCAAATTGTGGGAAGTGAATGTAATTAGGCGATAAAGAAAACAATAAAGAAACATCAGTTTTACCGGAGCATAGGTGGCGCTGTAACCGCTCAGGGCAAAGGGATTGAGGAGTCCAAGTGGGCCGGCCATTTGTTGCATTCTGCGAAGTTGTCTTTCTTTTTCTGTATCTGCAAATTTGACTACAAGACTGGACGAGGCACCCTTTATTGGAGGAAATGCAATAACAATTGTCTTTTATAAAAGTCATGGATAAAAACAATATGTTGGATATTTGTCATAGTGTAAAGTCAAGTTATATAAGATAAGACAGTACATAGCAAAGAACAAATGAGTGAAGTCAAGCCAGGACAAGATAAAACAAGGGCAGACACAATGAGCTATGTTAATATAAGAGTGGTTAAAAAAAAAATTGCCTCCACAGAACATAATAAAAAGGATCCTTTCAGACACCTTCAGGACCAATCAGCACTTGGTGCATGATGTGAGCAACATTAGAGACACCTTCAGGACCAATCAGCACTTGGTGCATGATGTGATCAACATTATAGACACCTTCAGGACCAATCAGCACTTGGTGCATGATGTGATCAACATTATAGACACCTTCAGGACCAATCAGCACTTGGTGCATGATGTGATCCACATTATAGACACCTTCAGGACCAATCAGCACTTGGTGCATGATGTGATTAACATTATAGACACCTTCAGGACCAATCAGCTCTTGGTGCATGATGTGATCAACATTATAGACACCTTCAGGACCAATCAGCACTTGGTGCATGATGTGATCAACATTATAGACATCTTCAGGACCAATCAGCACTTGGTGCATGATGTGATCAACATTATAGACACCTTCAGGACCAATCAGCACTTGGTGCATGATGTGATTAACATTATAGACATGTTCAGATCAATCAGCACTTATAGTGATCACATTATAGACACCTTCAGGACCAATCAGCACTTGGTGCATGATGTGAGCAACATGATGCCAGCCGCCTTTATTTCCACAGAACTTTACCTGGTACCCATTTAAGGCTAGGTAGAACTGGGAGCCAAAGTCATTTTTGAAAGATAAGTCTGTTTTCTCCAGGACCTAAACTCATTACCTACAGAACCACAAGTGAGCGTCTAGCCGCTACACCACACTAGGACAAGATGGATTAAGTCACACCAGGACAAGATGGATTAAGTCACACCAGGACAAGATGGATTAAGTCACAACAGGACAAGATGGATTAAGTCACACCAGGACAAGGTGGATTAAGTCACACCAGGACAAGATGGATTAAGTCACACCAGGACAAGATGGATTAAGTCACACCAGGACAAGATGGATTAAGTCACACCATGACAAGATGGATTAAGTCACACCAGGACAAGATAGATTAAGTCACACCAGGACAAGATGGATTAAGTCACACCAGGACATAACAAGACAAGGTATAATGACACCGCCTGGTTTATGTGGGGTCAAGACAAAAACCGGTCAAGATCAGACAAGAAAGACACACAATGATGAGGCAAGACAAGTCATAATAAAACAAGTCAAAACATGACAAGAGGATTTAAGGCAAGACAAGATAAGGGAAAGTGAAAACAAGACAAGACGAGCTGTTAAGACAAGATAAGACAAAACACAATGATGCATGATATTCTTAATTACATCTTTTGACTGCCAAGAAGATAAGACAAAACAATTCAAAATCAGTATAAGATAGGGCAGGACAAGGCGCAACAAGATGATCAGTCAAATCAGACACATTAACATAACATAGTACTAGACAAATCATACTTTACAACACTTGACTACCAGAGTCAGTACAAAACACATGCAGTCATGAGAATCTAAGGTAAGACAAGACACCACAAGAAGATGAGTTAAGTCAAGGCACAACAAGACAAGCACTAATAAGTCAAGGCAAGATAAGACTAGACATGGCAAAAGAAGATGCCAAAAGATAAGACAAAACAATGCAAAACTCCACAAGACAATACATACCGACATCGTCTGACTCCCGTGGAGTGCGCTAATTGCTGCAACCGCGTCCTGGTGATTGGAGAACTTCACAAATGCACAACCTGAAAGTGAACAACAAGTAATAAACAATAAAAAAACTCAGTTAATATTTCTAATCCGATTTACGATTGAGCTAACAAACAAAAATTATATATGTCTGGCACTATTTGCCACAAAAAAAAAGTATATATATAAATTTTCTAACACTGGGGAATTTATTTGCTCGTATGGACCTGTCTCGCTCAGAATTGTCCTAGATTCACTGTGTAAGTTCTAGTGTAGCCAATCAACCAGCAGATATTTCCTCAGTCTTGATCAATAACACTGAGTTGTCAATGTAATTCGTCTGCTTTGGCATCAGACTACTAGATGATTCCTTCATCTTCTATGAGGCAGAGAACTTACGGCTTTAGATATCTGTCTGTGATGTTAAAGTAATGTTTTTATAAAGTCCACAAGTTTCCCCGCACCCTTTAATGTAACATAGTTATGTCAGTCTTTGTTTCACGCACTCGTGTTTAGACTGATCTAATTTGCATGGAGGATAGTTATTTTGAGTCTTTGTTTCACGCACTGGTGTTTAGACTGATCTAATTTGCATGGAGGATATTTTATTTGATTCGGTTAGGGCCAGTTCTACATGTTCTGGGAGTCGTTGAAGATGTGTCGTCGTGTAGTACAGAACACGCGACATCAGCGCTGATGTAATGGAAGCAAGACAATGTAAAACCCCTCTGACGTAAATGAAAGTAAGAATGAAAGGTCAGATACAGTGTGTAAATAGGCCGGGGAACTTGAACAGGACCGAAGTATTATCTGTCATAGTTCCTTTTATTATAATCTTGGGTTTTAAAGTTATAGGCTGTTATAGTTGCGAAATGTAACTGTGGTTCATAGTGAATACATGAATGAAGAAATGACACCCTTGCACACGGGATATTCCCACATGTGCTCAGTCTCCTTCTTCAGTAGCCAACGAAGAATCGATACGCTAAGAGTACTTGTTGCAACCTGATAAATGTCCGCCTATGTTTTGCCCCGCAGTGTTGAATATCTCCCAGACCAATTACTCGCCCCTCGCTGAATTAATCTGTCAATGTATAGATCCTTGGTCTGCTCTGTTGCACTGTCCACTTGATCCCATGCAACCTTCACCACTTCCGCTTTATCATACCGTAGCTCACCACCCATAGGAGCAACAGCTTATGCTCCAAATAAGAGTCTTTTGAAGCGAAACAAGCCACTCTACGCGTAGGATGCCAGTTTCTATTTTCAAAAGTATGCTCTGTGAGTGCGTTACAATCTGCTGTTACTGCTCCAGCTCTATACTGGATGCTGTGATGTTATAAGTAAGGCTCTCTGTTTTCTAACAGTGTCTATCAACGTTTGCAATATGGCCCCACCCACTCGTTGTTACCTCTAACTACAGACCCAACTATGTATATTAACCATGTGTCCTGGGTGTAAATTTTTATTATAGACAATGGAGGCAGAGCTAGAAGGGGTCACCCGCGCAAGCGATAGATGCATGGCATATTAAGGCCGCGCGCACCAGCATCCATGTATCACACACCACATGGTTCGAACAAAATGCCACTGCAAAACCTGACGGTGAAAGGCAAAACAGAGCCCAGAAAAAAATAATTAATTATTAACTGATCGGTCGGTTGGTCTCATCCGGGCGGCTACCTACAGGTTTATCATAACATCTGGAAATTTAAACAATAAATCAATAATAATAACCTTCTGGACTTCAGACTAACAAGGTGGACACCTGGTTGAACCTCCAAAGAAGATATAAACAAGGCTCCCGTGAGGGTCACACCAACCAGTCTTAAGCAGATAAGACATCTTTGTATTGATGAATTTTCTTAATGAGACATATACACATTACAACATAGTGTAGGTACGACATATCAAGCAAAACTTCCGAAAAGAAAAACACCGGTGAAAGCCAAACTTAACGGGTCACTGAGTGAACTTAAAATGACAGAGAAGTTTATACTAAAGTTAGTTGCGTATCCTTTACAGGACATTGCAAAACCAACCACATCATTCTCTGGCTGTTGTGGGTTTTCTAGTCAAAGTTTACCTTCAGTAGTTTGCCACTGCTTTTGGATGGTCGCCTCTTGGTACCATTATCAAAACCAACGCAAGACAAACAGTCCGCGGCTGGAATCGAACCCGGCACCGCGGCATTGTGAAGCGCGTTTGCAACGCTTAAGTCACAGACGCCGACTTTATACCAGAGACATCATTGCAAATATAGGTAATTTATTTAAAGCGAACGAAAGAAGAAAAATAGTTTTATTATTTGAAACATTCAATAGAAATAAGGGTTCTTAATTTATAACGTAGTTTGCCTGACAGTGCTGTTGTGTGAGTGTTTATCTAGTGTCCTAATGCTTAACCCTAGCGTAATAAATCGCGAGAAACTACAACCTGAAAAACCTAGAATTTATTGCGAATGTCTCCCGTGACGTTGTCGTGACGTCAGGGGTAAGTTATAAATTAAGTACCGAAATAAGAGTAAAGTCACAGATACTAGAAAGTTTATGTATTTGTAGCGGCGTCCGTGGCTTAGGAGACTCGTAATTCCAACGTACCGCGATCGTAACGCACTGCTGACTGCGTGGACTTTTATCATGGTATGGAGCGTCGCAGGTCGACCCAGCCTAAAATGGGTACCAGGATGGCTGTCATAGGGAAGTAAAGACGTCCGGCGTAATGCTGACCACATTACCCACCTAGTGCCGATGGTCTGTACAAAAATGGATGCTCTTCTCATATGCCCGATACGCCTTAAGGCGTGAAAGGGGAACTTTACTTTTACAAGTAACTTAATAGCCCTGCAGAATCGAACCCTGTGCAAACATCCATGACAAATATACTATGTCGCAGAAAGTCATGGTACGATTACGTACACAGAAATCTGTCAACAGAATCGATTCCCAAAACCTGATCTCAATACTTGTGGCAACACTACTGATGTTAATGGCAGTTTGCATAAAAACTGCGGGTAACAAGACACGGAGCAATACAATATATTTCTCATTATTAATTTCTCTTGTAGTCTCACGCAGAACAAACACAAGCTTAGCTGCCAACTGTCACTGTTTCTATATCAATAGCGTCCCCTGACAACTGCTAAAATGTCAAAAGGTTTGTTTCCCTTTTTCAGATTATCAATTAATCTAATTGGGCCTCCTCTTCTTCCCTAAGGGTCCACTCGTCGGTCCCCGTCGGGGCTCCAAATTGCTGTCATAGCTAGGGCAGGGTTGCAGATGAGCTCTCAGTGTTGACCAGAAAGTCCCCATGCGTGTGAATTCATCACCACTGACAGAATGTTCCCAGTTTCTGTGCTCACAAGTTGGCACTGTTTGAACTGACAGGGGGACGGAGCCACGGCGAGTGTCTGGTATGGTAGCAACAGACCGTTATAAATAGATACACGCATAGACACGTCAGCTTGAGATGGCAGACGAATAGTTACCCAAAGAAATATATGGTGCTAAGGGCAACCAGGCAAGAGGTGCACCGCAGCAATCACGTCTCACGATGCTACATACATGCTTACTTTTTAAACACATGCATCCACAAACTTTTATTCATTCATTCATTCATACATAGACACATATACATACATACAAACATACATACATATATACATTCATACATACATATATACATGTCGGCTCTGTGGCTAAGTCGATGCGAACGCTTTGTAATACCGGGGTACCGGGTGCGATCCCGGCTGCGGGCTATGCGCCTTGCGTTGGTTTCGACAGTGGTATCAGGGGGCCGACCGCTCAGAAAGCAATGGCAAACTACTGGACGTAAACCTGCCTAGAAACCACAAAACAGCCAGGGGCTGCTGGGGTTGGTTCTGCAGCGTCCTGTAAAGGATACGCAACTAGCTAATATACATACAGACAGACATACACACATGCGCACACATCTAAACTTGAGTTACACCACCACCTATACCTAAAAAAATAACGTGGAGCTATAGCTAACTGGACGGTCGGCTTTCTTGATACCACTGTCTAAACCAACGCAAGGCGCATGGTCTGCAGCTGGTTTCGAACCCGCCATCCCGGCATTACGAAGCGTTCGCATCGACTTAGCCACAGAGCCGACACCGGAATATAAAAAAGATAAAATAAAAGAATCCGAGCTAGGAAATATCCTGGTTGATTGTTAATTGCGCAACCCAAGCATATAGGACAACAGGTGACGTCGTTCCGTTGTGCGGTGTCTCAGTATAACTGATCTTTACTGTTGAACAATATCTCCGGGATTTTGTACCTGTTTGATTCTCATCCTTGAAATGCGAATCCTACTGGCTGCAACCTTCATCATCATCATCATGTAGCAGGTCCTTTGCAGAACATCGCTATCATCACCGTCTGCCAGAAAGAAACTCGGTCTCTCGCCAGCTCTCCCGCCTCATGTACTTTCATACTCAAGGAGTCACTTATATCCTCTGTCTTTTTCGTGTTGGTCGGCCCCTGCCCCCTTTTCCTGGCAAATCATGCTTTCTGCTATAATTTTTTTTCCCATTCCGTCGTGGCGCTTGATATGACCAAAATATTTCAGCTTCCGAGACAGGATGCTGTTTATGAGCCAATCTTCCTTGATGTTCAGATCTTTCATCACGGAGCCGAAAAACGATGTTTTCTGGCTGATCAAGAAGAATACATTGAAGATGTAGAAAACCCACCTCAATGACGATCTGTCCTTCAATAGCAAAGACCACTAAAGTCGACAACAGCACTGACCATTCTGTACCGCTAAACTATCATTACAGGGGGCTGCGTGGTCTCAAAGCATGGTGTTCGCCTTGAGTTCTAGAGGTTCCGGGTTCAATCCCAGGCAAGGGCTGGGATTTTTTTTTCACTTGGACTTCGACTTCTAGTAATTTTCCCTGGGTCTGTGGGTAGTGACGCCCGTATGTATTGTTGGGCACATACAAACCTCTTGGTAGTTGGAAATCTAAAAGAGTAGCCTAACAGCGCTGCCCGGGCAAACATTTGGAGCTAAAAATCTTCCTACAGTATTTCAGGATCCTCGCCGGTGCTACAGAGCCTGTGCACTGTGCTGAGCTTCTTTGAACTGATACTTGGGTTAGAAGAAGAACGGAGCACTTTTGGATTACTACACGTATGCCATGATGTTGATCCATTTTGGAAACCTCAAACCTCAAACTTTCATTGCAACAACTGTGTTCTACACAGCCATGCAAGCACAGAAACAAATGTTTCACTCAGAAAACCAACAGAAATAATTCGCAAGCAGACATCCCTCCCTCCCCAATCCCTCCCTTCTCCAAACCCTCCCCTTGGAACCTGCTTACTCAGCTAGATCTGATCTCCGCATACAATAGCAGTGAAACACGACCCATTCTAAGCCAGGATTGTTACACCAATCAAATAGTTGTTGATGCATCAGTCACCTCACCTCGTGGCCTCTTTCTGGGCCAACATTGGGCATTTTCCCTTACCCACGACGACATTAAAACTCCACTGGCCAATTCAGCATTCGTGGTGCCATTTCATGAATTTGCATGAGGGCTCACGCCAAGGGACTTGCCATTTCTGGGGGAGCAGAGGGCGGGTCACTCCTACAATCAGCCAGCAAATGTAGAAGGCTCAACCGGAAATGTCCTGCTATATTCCTTTCCTTCGGCTTTTAAAAGGATGATTGATGTGGATGATTGATGTTCACGATCGGAGATTACTGGGCGAAATTACCATCCCCTGTAATTTTAACCTTGGCCGGCTGTGTGTGTAAGGATAAAAAATTGAAAGAACAAAATGAGCTCGAGAAAAAACGATATCTAGAAATGAAAGATTTATATAACAATGTGAGGACAGAGTAGGCTCTCTTTCTGTGGGTAATTAAAAGGAAGATTGCGTTATCATATGACTCTTTGAGCAGAAGATCAAACTTGAAACCGTCATCAATAAAAGCACGATGTCATGAATGTGGTAACGATGACATTTGTGTGATTGTTTATTTGCACAGGCACAGTGAAGTTACTGTTTGCATTGTAGTTTCGCTCCTATAGACATCGGTGGAACAAGAAGAGGAAGTGTATCTTCTCCTTGGCTGGATGGTTACACCATTTGTCTTGCGCTTTAAAGGCTGTAGGTTCGATTTTGGACACCCTTGTAAGGTTTGCAAGTGTAGGTTCTACACAGACCCCTGGGAGTCGTCGTTTGCAGCTATGGAGTTTCGTGGTTTGTTCGACACTTTCGATGGGTGACTAGCTGCTCTGCGGGAAGAGATATAATCAAATGGGATGAAATCTTCCGCCATGAAATCGGCTTTATATACCCCTTTTTAAAGAAAGAAGAGAGAGAGAGAGAGAGAGAGAGAGAGAGAGAGAGAGAGAGAGAGAGAGAGAGAGAGAGAGAGAGAAAGAGAACATGTTTATTTAATTTCTGTATATAAAAGCAAGGTCTCTTAAAGTTCAACCATACGCACACTTAGAAAGAATACTCTGTGACGCCAAATTCAAAAAGGAGAGAAGGAGGTAGACCAGTAGATCAAGAACAAGATGAATAGATAACATCAGAGAAATTCTACAACCTTACGCTGTGTCAATGGCGAAGAAGAGCAAGAAACAGAAACGTATATTGCATTCGACACCCGAAACTATAAACATGAAGAAAAAGAAGAAGAAAAAGAAGAAGAAGAAGAAGAAGAAGAAGAAGAAGAAGAAGAAGAAGAAGAAGAAGAAGAAGAAGAAGAAGAAGAAGAAGAAGAAGAAGAAGAAGAAGATATAACGCGAGACTACAACAGTACGATGTGTACTGAGGGGCCGGAACCTGCGGACTCGAGTACTTTCAGCCCATACACACCCTCCCTCGATAATTAGTATACCTCCGCCCCCTGCCCCACACCCTTGGCATGTAATAGAAGGTTCTCTTTGACCCTTTAAGCACCAGAACATTTACCCCGAGAACAAGTAAATCATAGAGTCAATGAAGATCAACAATGCGTGAGAGCATAATGGTCATGAGTCCAGCAACACAGATAGCAAGGGATAAAGTAACCAGCTAGGTTTATGTTGTATTATTCAGCTAAACACTAGTTGAATGTTTCATGGTTTGATAGTCATGACCAGACCAGTACTGATCATAAATGGAGCAGTGGTTGGAGCTGACTGAGTCATGTATTTGTCGTCAAAGAATGCCCACAACATCGTGGACAGGCACAAACAAGTAATGGAAGTAATTAGGCCGAAATGAAGAGGTGTTGCTCACATCAGGGAACGTAGTCAACAGTTCTTCTGGCGGGTAACGAGAAAGGGAAAAGTGCATCGGAACAACAAGAATGGCGGTGGAAGAAGAAAGGAAGACCGAGAGAGAGAGAGAGAGAGAGAGAGAGAGAGAGAGAGAGAGAGAGAGAGATATATATATATATATATATATATATATATATATATATATATATATATATATATATATATGAGAGAGAGAGAGAGAGAGAGAGACGAGAGAGATAGTTGGGTACCACGACATTCAAGAATATCTGGAATCTAAAATGTGGCTATGAATCGACGGAAACGGTCGATGAGGGGGTGTTAGATAGTTGGGTACCACGCCATTCAAGAATATCTGCATCATAACATGTTGGCTATGCATCAGACGGAAACTGTCGACTCATGTGATGACCCAGGCCACAAGATATGTCGTGTCAGAAAGAAGATTACACTTATTTAGTAACACATTCACCTGTATGTTTTCCTTTGCTTCACTCATGTGATGACCCAGGCCACTAGGTTTGGAGTGTGCAAAGGTAGATTGCAATTATTAAATAACACATTCACCTGTATGTTTTCTTTCGGTTCACTGATTTGATCACACAAGCCACTTGGTATGGAGTGTAGAAAAGTAGATTGCAGCCTAATAACACATTCACCTGTATGTTTTCCATGTACACGTACTGTATTTGATTCCCGTTTGTCGACAGGTTAAAGACCTTGTTTTATACCAACAGCTTTGCAGTTTAATGTTGTCTAGTGTGCCCTCCTATACCTACTACTTTTTATTGCGTGCCAATTATAATAAATTCATTTGCTTATGGTACTGCCAAAACAATGAGGATAAAACATGCGGCTTTGTAACACTGATATCAAGTCTAGTTTTATGGAATAAGTTACAGTCACCTCGGAGAGTATCTACTTCATTGTACCGGGTTTGATCCCATATGGCTCGGTCTCTCTCCGCAGAGCGACTATCCTCTTGCAGAAAGCGTTGTATAGAAGACGATATCCGTAGCACCAGCGACACCAAGGAATCTTCTTAAAAACTGCACCAGGAAACAACTCTTCCGTAAAACGAACCACAACCTCCAGAGCGCGAGACTAACTGCTTGACCACTTCGCCAGGGAGACCCAGAAAGTCGAAGTTTTAAGGAATAAGTAAAAACAAGTGAAGGAACCATTTTGACACCAGTGACACACTTGGGCACCTTATCATTCACGTTTTTTACCCTCTATTTTCTGGTTAATATTTATTTCCGGTGGTCACACTCGTGTCCGAGATTCAAATGGCCAGACAGATATGTGATTCCCCCATAGAAGACACCTAAATAAGGTTATTTTGTGTATTCTCATTCATGTTTGTAGTACTGTATATTTATGTAGTGTGCTCATGAAGACTCTCTCGTCGCCTACGTTTACTTGTCGTTTGTGACAATGTGAAGTTTACTGGTTTTATTTTTCTTCTGGTTTGATATCTTTTAATGATATGGAGTTACGATGACAGACTCATATTATATAGCCTTCTCCATGGGTGATCTGGGCAAAACCAAGCCAGCCGCCTTAATTCCAGAGTAAAATACACCTAGGAAAGGAACGCATAACGCAGTTTTTTTTTTAAAGACAGGGTCAGCGAGGAACGTCGCCCTAACTGATTCAGCTCGTCCAAGTACTTTTTCACACAGTATTTACAGTTTACTTATTCTTCTTCTGAAAGTCCATGCCGTGTGGCGTCGGTAGTCATGTGTCCCCACAGCCGTCTGTCTCGCGTACTTTCAATCAACTTTGACACAGGTGATTCTCCATGTCATGATGTCTCTCTTATCTGTTTACTTATTACCTCTGTCAGTTCCATTTAACAGCAAGTATGAGTGATTATCATGCGTACAGACAACAAGATATAAGAAATATATACATTTTTACAGTTACAGATACACACATACAGCAATATTCAAACATATGACTACACGTCATGCAGGCAGTAGTGCTAACCACTGGACCACTGTCACGGTTGCCAACGTCGGGTGCCGTTGCGAATGAACCAGTTTAATCCAAACTCACCAATCCTAAGTTTTCTCCTTTCCGTTGTCAGCTGCAGGCGATTTGCTTAGCAGGGCGCTTTGTTTTGAGACTGATTACGGTATATACGTCGTACCGTTTGGAAAACATCTGAAAACATCTTTTTGTGAAATCGCTTAGGAGAAAAACCCCACTCAACTACCATGAAGTGCTGAGGTTTTTCCTCTGAAGGATATGCATCTAGCAACTGGGGATCGAGCTGACTGTTTCTCCTGTTCCCTCTGTGAGTGCCCATTAGCTCTTAAGAGTGTATTTATGGGACGCGGTCTCCACAAGGGAGGTTGGTGTCAGCGCATCTACTGCCGTCTTTGAAAATGTTATGCCGTGAGAGCTGACTCTCTTAAGGGTGCAACTCTCTTACCAGTGTCTGAAAGCAACCAGAACAGTCTTTTTCTAAACTACAACCAAGGGAATCGAACTTGGCCACGTCTCGGGTTAGACTGCCAACAGTGGAAGAACAATATATCCATGGCTGCGAATCTCTCTCTCTCTCTCCCCCTCCCCCTTTCTTTCTCTCTCTCTCTCTCTCTCTCTCTCTCTCTCTCTCCACCCTTTCTCTCTCTTTCTCTCTCTCTTTCTGCCCTTCCCAGTGACTCCCGCCAGCACGGCAGCGAACTAATCAATACATCTGCGTGACTGCCAATTTTATGCGCCCCGGTTCTAATGCTCAAACAGAGACACGCAACGAGGCCAGAAGCTAGAGTGGCATGCAGGGAGGGTGGGAGAGAGAGAGAGAGAGAGAGAGAGAGAGAGAGAGAGAGAGAGAGAGAGAGAGAGAGAGAGAGAGATCTAACGTTGGGTGATTTTATAGCAGGAGATCTAATTAATGTAGAAATGGCGTCCTATATATATAAATTTTTTTAGCGTGTAGTTTTTTTTTTAAACAATATGAAATTGTGGTTTGAAATCCAATTTGATTTAAGGCTTCGTTTAAAATGTCCGCTTACTGATTTTATGCACGCGTGGGCACATGAATGATTGCATAGGACGATCAATGGGGCGTGTTGTCGTGCGCAGGCATGTGGGTCACAAACATCCGAGAGCGTTGTGGTGGACTGTCTTAGGGTACCACCTCAGACAGCATTTTACCATTTCGTCAACTGACACATTTGCATGTCACGACAAAAAGTTATCAATAATGTTCTCAGAGTTAGCTTTACGTTAGCCCTCTGGGATGTCTTGCATTTCCGTTTTTCCTCCGAGAAAAAGAATGCCTATGACATAGGTTGCAGCTCCCTTTAGGGTGGTCGTGTGTTCATCCAGTTTGCCCATGTTTTTAGAATGTTAAAAGCGCTGGCGTGCTGAAAAATACAACACGCGATATCAACGGCATTGCGGAAAACCCCCGTAACCTTGTGCCAAGACACGTGGCTCAAGGTCGACTAATCAGAAATGAGCTAGTGTGTAGCTCTGTGTAAATGGGAGACTAACATTATTTTTACCGTTCACTCATATATCATTATTATTTACAAAACAAATTATAACCCTTTCCTTCCTAGTCTAGTGATTATTGAAATAGCTGTATCTTAAGGGCTCGCCACTATAACTAACAAGGTTTTGCATCCGAAGAGCAAACACAATTAAAACTGAGACAACTGAGTTTAGGTAAGCTGAGTGAAGAACAGATGAGAGACATTCCTATAAGCGCCCGTCCCCGCCGTCCTCAGCAGCCACCTCAGAGTTCCAGCCTCAATGGTATAAGTAAGTGGCTCTCAACCTTCGTGATGACGCGACCCTTTAACACAGTTCCTCGTGTTACGTTGACCCCTAACTATAACATGATTTTCGTTGCTACTTCATAACTTCAGTGAATGTGTGTTTTTCCATGGTCTTATGCGACCCCGTGAAAGAGTCGTTTGACCCCCCACCCCCACACAGGGTCGCGACCCCATGGATGAGAACTGCTGGTACAAGTAGGTTGTTGCCTGTCTTGCCATTCCCCTGAGTGTTGAGTGCCGGATATAAAGAAAAGATCTATGAGACGACTACAAACTTATGACCAGTGGCTTGGCAATGAAAGTGGGAAAAAAAATCCTAGTCTTAGTGGGATTTGTAGCCTGTGACAAATGGGCTGGCAGCTATGCGCACTAGTGACTGCGCTACCGCGTCAGAACGCTACAGTGCATGATACAGAACGATTGTACAGTATTCGTTACCTACCTACCCTAAAGTTGTTTCCACCTTGTCGTAGTGGGGGAACTTGTACTTCCGACTGACAGCTATGCCGGTAGTTGCCCACCTTGCAGTAGCGGGGGAACTTGGGTACTTAATTTGGTTCTTAATTTATAACGTACCCCAAACACGAAATCCCCGTGGGAAATCCACAGCTGACCTGACAGTCCATTATTTCAAGGGGTGCAAGTGTGCTGTTGTGTGGTGCTTTTTTTGAGTGTTCATCTAGTGTCTTCTAATCCTAACCCTAACCCTAACCCAAACCCTAACCCTAACCCTAAACTTGGCTGTAGATAAATCGCGAGAAACTACAACCTGAACACCTTAGAATTTATTGGGAATGTCTCCCGTGACGTTGATGTGACGTCAGGGGTAAGTTATAAATTAAGTACCCTTAATAAGTTTCTATAAATAATGATAAGTTATAATCGAATGAGTTACCCCAAGTGTCTATAAACAATGATCAGTTAACGTGGAATGAGTTATATTAAGTGTCTAAACAATAATCAGTTAGCGTCGAATAAGTTATATCAAGTGTCTGAACAATGACCAGTTAGCGCCGAATAAGCTAAACAAAGTGTCCACAAATAAGATTAATTAAAGTCGAATAAGCTATACCAAGTGTCTATAAACAATGATCAATTAGCGTTGAATAAGCTATACCAAGTGTCTATAAGCAATGTTCAGTTAGCGTCAAATGAGCTATATCGAATGTCTACAAACAATAATCAGTTACCGTCGAATATGCTATACCACATGTCGTGTCTATAAACAACGATCAGTTAGTACCGAGAAATTTACATTAATGTCGCTTTTTGTAAACACATGTGCGGAAGAGTGAAGCAGCAGGGAGTACGACCACGAAGAAAACACTGGGGGTGGGATGGGGGACGGCTTTAGTCCCCTAATAATTTTTCAGGGGCGCAGGGTTTCCATGGGCTTAAGCCTTATATAACTGCAAAATGTATATTATTACTAATATTGCTATGTTCTGAATGACAAATATATAAAATAATATATTAGAAATAATATGGATTGTATGAAAAAGTGTTTGAAAGAGGACGTCTATACATATTGTTTTTTTTGGGGGGGGGGGGGGGGGGGGGTGGGTGG